ACTCACTGTTATCACCCTTTTCACCTCTTTCACTCTCTACCCTCTCATCATCATCATTATCATCATCTCTACTTCTTCTACTACTCTCTTTCACTCTGTATCATCTCTATCACTATTATCAGATTAATCAGAGCTGTACAGATTGCAGAGTCAGCTATTCAATCTCATTCATGAATTCAAAGAGATATATATGACATCACATGAGATTTTATTACAGAGTATTTAGCAGTATATACTATAAACACAGAGATCAAAATATGATAGAGATAGTAAGAGAGGAGTAGAGATAGTGAAAGTAATAGAAGAGACTGTAGAGTAGTAGAGATAATGATGATGATAGAGAGGCTAGAGAGTGGAAAAGATGATAGAGAGAGATGATAGAGATGATAGAAGTGAGAGAGATAATAGAGATGGTAAGAGAGGGGTAGAATGATAAGATGAGGATAGAGATAGAGAGTGGAAGTGATAGAGGGTGCTGTGAGGCAGTAGAGGCAGTGGTGGTGATAGAGAGAGTAGAGGTGGTAGAGGTGGTAGAGGTGGTAAGAGTGAGAGTGATAAGATGGGGATAGGGGTATGGAGTGGAAGTGATAGGGGGTGTTACAGGGCGTTAGAGGCGGTGGTGATGATAGGGGGTAGATAGAGTGGTGCAATTGGCAGGCGCCACTACATGAATATCCACGGATTTTTGATGGGGTGCATGTGATGTCACGTGAGGTCACGTTACAGGGCATTTTACTCGGAAAAGTTGGTTTTTCTATAATATATAGAGAGATGAACTCAATAATAATATTAATATCTTGTATATAGTGGCCCCCTGCCTCTATAACTGTCCAAGATTAATCAGATATCTCTGCTATAAGCCTCTTGTAACTGCTTCTCTGTTATAGAGCCCCAGGCATTTCTAATCATCTCTCAAAGTGCATCATAAGAAAGATTCCTCTCATTCTCATGATTCATCTATATTAACTGCTTCATATGATTTCATACAGATTCAATTGGATTCAGGTCAGGGGCATGCTTTTTAGAAGTAGCTTCTCTAAGTTCAATGAACTTCTTGATAGATTATCTCAAGCTGATTGAATATTCTCTCATAGGTCCATCCAATGTTGATCACAGATTAATCACTTTGTAGAAGATGTACGCAGCGTATATTGTGTACAGACTCCAGAGTATGAGAAAGGAAACTGGCTGTCTCTCCTATTTGTGCTGTATGTACTCCGTACGGAGTACTGTGTGCGTAGGGAGATATTTGACCCTTGCAAGAAAAAGTCACCGAAAGTCAGAGCGAAACATCCGCGGCGGGGAGAAGGTAACTAACTTATAAACTAACTCTGAACCACCAAACTTGACTGCCCCGCCCTCACGCCCGGAAACGCCTATTCCTATTATCATCTTATAATTTATGTATTCCTAGCCTATAACTATAGCCTACAAGGTGGCTGTTTTCAGGCACCAGGGGCAGCGTAGCGTTGATTGGCCCTCATTTCTGCTTCTCTCAGCGCCCAAGGACACGCTTTTTGCCACAAGTCTCCTTACAATTTTACAATTTTTCCGACTTACGCTACATAACTCTCCAGTGTTCTACTACTACTATGCGTATAGTAGCGAATAGCGAATAAGATCCTGGCATGGCATGGCCGCATGCGGGAGTTCTTCCTTTTTTTAACACCTTGAGTCCCTTTTGAAGTTTTTAGATTTTACCAATGCTTTCCCACAGCATAATTTATTTCCTCAGTTTCTGACATTCGGTGAGGGAAAAAAAGAAAAGAAAAGAAAAGAAAGAAAAAGAGCGCTTTTGACTCCGGCATGTCACTCATCACTCTCTCATCTGCTTGCTGCCAATTCTTTCAAAACACAATAATAATATTACGGAATTCAGACTCCAGTTTTCTGATTAGAAATAGTCACCTGTCACATGACAGACAATAGCTGTAAAGATTATAGAGTATAAACTAGATTCACTGATTCTGCTCCACCATGTCTACTAACTATGCGTAGCAGACCCGCTGTGTTAACTTAGAGGAAGAGAAAAATACCAAATTTCCTTGCCTGATATCTTCTCCTTCTTTCCATCGAACCATCAAAACATCTCAACATCTCACAGTCCTCAACATCATATTGTTTATTGATTGATGGCAAGTTCCAACTTGTTTACATCCAGATTATTGTACGGCAAGATAACGTCTTGTACTCTGGCAAAGTGGACGGATCACGAAAACGAACCTCATGATCTGTCGCAACTTCCTGATATTCAGCGGGTGGAGACCCAGGATAGGATAGGGGTCCAAGAGTTGAGACGGCAGAACCTGGACTGTGATTATCGCCACCGCTTGACTGCTACCTTCAAAACTCCGAGTCTCTTCGCAAACATACACTGGCAGGTGACGCAGGTCCCACCCTTGAGAAACAAAATCTCCACGAGGTTGAGACGTGTGAAGTTCTTCTTCGAAAGCATTCATTCTACTATGCTATGGCTGCCAAGTGACAGACACATGGCCGAGTTTCAGGTCTTTGCTTCAAGCGGTAGGTATAGTTATACATCAACATTGCTTGAAAAGGTCAACCCACAGAATTCGAACAGATTTGCCTTTCTCCGTTCACAACGACATCGCACCTGCTAACAATAATATGTTCACCGAGGATGGCGATGGCACGCCGGTCCTCCATTGATTTCGACAGCTGCCGGTAGGGTAGGTTGGGGAGTTATTGCGCGACATAGAAACAACAAGGACGCGCATGAATGGCATAACCCTGAAGTCAAGACTTCAAATTTGCTGATTACTCCGTACGATGGCCTGATTATGCCCCGCCGCCCCGACAATGCATAGACTTCATCCCTTATCTCAAAAATGAGTTTCCAACGTCAGTGAAATGAGCGAGAACCCTTGCCTTGCAAGAAGGTTTTGGCTTTCTGAGTCTAGTGAATAACTGTAATGCTAGGGGTTGATTCTGGTGCACCTATTCTTTTGGATAGATCTGTAGGATTCACAGAAGGAATAATAGGCCATTAGAACGGAATTACTTGATTTGGTTATCTAAATGACTATTGGTGTCTTTTCTTGGGCAACTTGAATGCGGGGGGGGACCTGTGAACCAGTAAGAGATGGCTGGGCTTTCTCTCCCAATACAGATGTGAAAATTGAACCTTGTCCATGTAATGTACTGTACATGTACTGTACGTCGACACCCTCAATCCCTTGTCAAAACCCACTTGATTCTGAAAAACTCAGCTCTGGCTGCGGTAATATCTCATCAGGCTGCTGTGATACGTCGAGGTTCACCTCCGGTAGTTCGTCAATAGCTGAGCACAACCTTTTAAAATGAGAAGGCGCCCAGTCATCATACACGCCCATCACAAACTTATAGGATGTCCATTTCTCTTTGCCATCCAGTGCTGTGAAACTGAACTGGTGAATAGGGTGCCGGTGATAGACAGTTTTATCTCCATCAATCACAGGATAGTGACCATAGATCCTCACCATTTGATGATCATGAGAAATCGAAAAGGACAAAATCTGTTGATGCAGCTCCTTCTCACGCTTCACAACCCTGAAGAGCTTGACAACACCTCTTACCGAGAGAGTCATGCTGTGTGCATTCTGTCGATCTGCTATATCAAGTGCTGTCATTCCACACTTCACCTCCGCTGTCATAAATGGAAAGTACATGTATGCAGTACTCATAAAGTAAGACATATCACCAATTTCACCAACAAATGGTGCAAGCTTCTTCAGTTGATTTTCAGTGAAGGACTGTCGGGAGAACCCTACCGCGTAATCGGGTTGTGGCTGAGGTAATCGAAATTGTCGAGATTGTGCAGGTGGTGGCAATTGAGCCTCATCTAGAGGAATCGAGCTATCCCAGCCATCATTCATACTAACAATCAAATGCGGAAATGTGACATGACCGAGGTCAATTGCACTCTCCGCCGAGGGCACAATTAATTCACCAATGATCCGAATAACTCCAGTCTCATTGTACTTTCTTAGTCTGTCACAGGTTGATCTGAAAGCTTTGTCATCAAACACTGTGTCTCTGGGAACTTTGGTGTCTTTCATCAGCAGCTTTTGATAGAAGTCCTTGCTGTCTCTGGTGATATCATCCTTATGCCTTCCCATGAAACTACCTTTAGTCTCCAAATATACTTCATAGTTCTTGTCGGTGTAAGGTCTACTCTTCACTTGAGAGATCGTTTCGCCACTATTTGGCTTCATCCGGCGAAGTGATGGCGTTTTCGGTCTTGCAAGGCAGTGTTCTATGATGTCTGGTTTTGAAGGGTTTTGGGGCCATTTATATTCATTGAGTGTCCAATGCTCGATTAGTCTATCCTTGCTGGTTCGTGACCGTTTTGAAGGAGGATCGGGATTATCAGATGGGCGCTCAGGTCCAGGTCCAGGGTGTAGTCGTTTATGCTCAGGTGAACGCTGTTTGGAAGAGATCAGTGGGCCGTGTAGAGTCTGGAGTAGAATTAGCTCCAATCAAGTGATCATACCGGGTAGTAACTACCTCTGGATTGCCGGCTTGAATGGCTGAAGGGAGATTAATGCTCCTACGTTCCTTTATTCCGCTTACTATGTCCTCACTAGCGCTGGTGTCCTGCTCACGGGAGTAGTATTTTTGGAGGCGTGTGCTTCTTCGGCAAGTACGGAGTCGTAGTTGGCGATGGGGCCGTGTCTCTGATGATTGTTAGTAAAAGCAGGCTAGATAGGGGGAGCTAAGAGTATACCATAGCCCTGGATTCTTAACGGAGATGTTGCTTGACGCGGACCCATGTTGAATTGGAGGGAAAAAATAAGTGGTTTTTACACTTATGTTGCTGAACGAAGCGGTCGTCTGGAGGGAAGAGTAGAAACTAAGTGGGAGGAACACTAGGCGGGAGCTAACTTAATATGGGCTAGTACGAATATGTTCGTGTATACTTCCATTATGCCAAACCTATTTATACACTGTAAATTTTGCTGGCTTTTGATATCGCCAAAGCATTCCCCGCCTTTTAATTCCTCGTAGCTAATAATAGTGCGTTTATGATTCTTTCTCCATGCTCTCAGCCACAAAAGCCCCGCCTGCCTACTTGTCTCTGTGTACGGAGTACGGAGTACACGTTTACAACAACTACGACTTCGAATCAATATCAATGCATTTTTGGGCAATGACCATTTCATTGGCACGTCTGTCTAGCGAGCCGGATACCTTGGTCCGATACTAAAACCATCGGGATGAATTACGCATTGCTGCCTAATCGAATCGATGTCCTTGGGCTCTTCCAAATTCAAAAGTAGTATTCTGATGGGAGCAAAAGAAGAATAAAATGTGACTAGAACCTAGAACACTAACAAACTAGAAAATGATTCGTATCATTATCTATTTTATTTTATTTATTTATTTATTTATTTTGTTTGGATGCCGGGCGTTGCGCTGGTCTGGTCAAACGAGGTCATCCGGATGATTCAGGAAGCGCCAGCGTGGATCAATCGATCACTCATTATTTCTCACCCACCGCGCTCGCGCCATTTCAGCTCAGCTCAGCTTAACTCTCACTATCTCCATGTTTGTATCCGAAAGAAAGTCACCGAATGAATGCTTTTACAGGTTTCATAGGTTTGTAAGCCCCCAGCTGTTTGTTCCAGCACATATTCTATACACTGGATGTATAGCATCTCGATAGTTCGATGGTGACGATTGGATGTCAAGCAAGCAAGCAAGCAAGCAAGAAGCGCGCCCCTGAAAAGAAAAATAGACTTTTCGGCCTCCGCTCCATTCGAACATGATTCAGCATATCATTTCAAAACACCATGTTTTTCGAACGCGAAACCAGGGCAGTCAAGGCACTCTTGCGAATGCTTGCGAATGAAACGACACTCGCTTTAGCCATAGATGTTCTATCATTATTGTCGTCTGGCACGCAAACATCTCGCGAGGAGATTATCTATAATGCTTGTATCTCATCATTGGGTAGTGGCCAGCCCATCACCTGGTCCATTTGAGGCTCATGTCAAAAAAAGCCCTCTTCCCCCGCATCCCATCTGTCGGGTTTCATTGGTGTTTCCGGATACCATTTTCTATCGAATCAGAGACATTTATCCCGTTTCTCTCAAGTCCACTGCAAATAGCGCCGGTTGATAGTGATGTTGGTTGAGTGACTGACGGATGAGAATGGATGGGGAACGTATGAGCTCCTACCATATGGCTTGTAGTCATCTAGCCTATTTCGCGTTTGAGAAACACAAATAATATATCAAGTATGGAGAAACATGGTGGAGAATATTTCAGTATATTCTATTTGGCGACAAACAAAGCCGTTTTCGTTTTCGTAATTTTGGATTCCCAACTTGGTTTAAATTTCTTCACACAAAGTCCACACCTCCTCAAGTGAGTGCCTCACTTATCGCCACCTCACCTGGGCAGGGGGCGAGCCTGTCCCGTTGACTGGCATTGGACGGCGAGCACGACTCGCTCCCCCCACTGTGCCTGAGGGTCTGCCTGTCACGGTAGGATCGGTTCGACAAAGATATCACACCTTCATCGGGATCGAATTGATCATGGTACTGGCAAGTGGGGGCGGGGGGGGGGGCGATCCAACATATTCAAGTTGGCGGTGTTTTTATCCATCTACATGTATCATCTAACGCGACCCAGGAGCCTGGAAGCTTTGAGCCTTGAGATGGGCCAGGACCATTAGGCGCCCGGCTGGTGGAGACGTCTTCCGTCTATTCATCCCGCCCAGTGCCCGATGCCCTCCACCACCCATGTCCCAAGATCTCATTAAACTTGGGAAGGACGTTTTGTTCTGTTCTGTTCTCGGCCACTGGTTGCTGTGCTTTGTTGGCTTCAGCCTGAAAGCTTAAGACCTCCATTGCATAAAATTGGATGGCGTTTTTCGAACCTCCATCCAGTCCAGGCCGTCTTGCTCGCTGCTAACCAATCCTCCCAAACTCCGGATCCCAAGTTCCGGAGTGGAGAAGGGAGAAGGGAGAAGGGAGAAGGGAGAAGGGCAAGGCAATTAATCACCCTTGGGACTTCAGGGACTACAGTAAGTGGATGGGATTTGTTTCCTTGATGCATAGGGCAATAGCCTAGGGATTATTCAAAACCAAGAGGTCTTTTCCTTTTCTTTTGCTTTTTTTTTTTTTTTTTTTTTTTTTTTTTTTCGGTGGGGGGGGTGTGGGTGGCAACGTAAAGTCGCTTTTGGCGTTTGGCTTCGAGATACTCTGATAAGGGCGGACAGGAGGGATATGTTTATGATGTCTGATATGAAATCAATATTAACAGTAACTAGTAACTATCATAGCTGCAAGGTTTGCTATATTTCTTACATAGCTAGCGGAATTATGCCCCCGATTGAATTGAGCACAGATGTACTTACAGACATTTAGCATGTTTCTCCTTATTAAGAACAAAAGGTGTAACTACTAGTTACAGACTACCCCACCCTGAATACAGTACCGTACCATAGAAGATATCCATCCCCTGCTGCCATTCCTCCATGCTGAATCTTCAAGATTTCTATTCAATCTCCGAGAATGATGGCGGGCCCTCTGTTTGCCTCTTCTCATTTCATGCACCCACTTGGCGCTCCGCGTGGTGTGACAGCCGGCGGTTAAAAATGAAGCAGTTGGACAATTTAAGAGTAGCTAGCTATGTTACGAGTAGTTTATCAATCAATTCTTGAAGGACTCTTGACTCCACCTCCCGCTCCTTGTCCATTACTATGTATTATTTAAGAACGAACCCCCACGTACGATACAGCTGCTAATAATTTTCTATCTAGATCTGTCGAACCGTGCCCCGGCGCAGGGATATCTCCTTGTCCCCTGCGTTCATCCGGGGCAAGGTTTAATATCGTTGCCAACGCCTGCACAAAGACATACCAAGGCGGATGCTGGGTTAATTATGCATAGGAAGGGGAGCTAGGGGAGCCTTGGTTTCATTTTTATTTTATTTTATTTCCCTCTTTCTGGAGGACTCTGCGTAAGTCCAGGATAAAGGGGGTACAATGATGGTTGCAAGCACAGGAAAAGAGCCGCTCCTAGAATCCGGCCGAAACGAGTGAGTAATGAGTTCAAGTTTCAGGGGAAATGCTGGAGTTGATCTGCGCGGAGGCTTCATTTCTGTGGATCTAGCTATTACGTCGGCCGTCTGGGTAGTATTGACGAGAAACCATTGCAATTACCCTTCATCTTTGATCTTTGATGGTGATCAACAGAGTCATGGCTTCTACCAGACGCGAGTTTGAATATTGAGGAAACAGACATGGTTTATGCAGTTTCTCAGAGGACAACAAACATGTCATTGTCCTTGTTGGAAGCCTCCCACATACGATCTCTGATATGGCACGACCCAGTCGAATCGACAGAGGGCTTGCTCTTGATATACAGTCGAATTAAGCCACACATACCGTTTACCTGGCCCAGATATACATCTACAGTACATGCCCATCACACCAAAGCAACGTCTGTACCCCTTTTCCAGCACTCTGGAGATGTGCACTGATTGGTGGTACCTTGGCAGGTGGAGACTTCATACTTCATTTTGTCAACCTGCTGATATTTTGCATCCGGGTCCTGTCCTTTCTTTTTCCCTTTATTCTCTCCCTAACGCAGCAAACATCTCTCAGTGGCTCTGTACCAGATGAGTTTCAATGGGTCACTATGCCCAATGCACAGTGCCTGAACAGTCCTCTTACCGGTGCAAGCTGGATAGTAGTATCCAGAGAAAAAAGCGACAGAATACGAGTCAAGAACGTCGCCCACACCGGCCCGTGATCCTGACGATTGGAACTTCAATTATTGTGTTTGACATCAAGAATAGCATTCCATTACGATGAGACATGAGAGTTGCTGGGAATTTCAATTGACCATGGCATTCAATTGGAGCTCAACACACTCACTCTCTGGCTCCGGCTATCGATGCACTGATTTCAACCTTTGGGCGGGTAATCGATCACGGGCGAGAATAATGAGAGGAAGCTTCTTTTGATTCAAACGGACTACGACTGACTGTCTGGAAATATACACTGTTTCCGTTCGGCTATTGTCATGTAGCAGGCGCAACATTGTAAATATACCACCCCATAAAACAGATACGAACATATTAAATTTTACTCTGAAAACCCCAATCAACAGGCCTCTAATAATGAGAAAATAAAAGAAAGAAAGAAAAAAGAAAAGAAGTTGAAAACTTCTTCATCCCCCGAAAATCTCACTAACAAAGCCGCGCCTCCCTCGCCCGGCAAACCCAACCGCCGGAAGCCGAGGAAGTCGGCACTAGGGCCACCGAAACAACCCTTGGGAGCCGAAAAGATTAAGGAGACAAAACACCAAGAGGAGACGAGATACCCGAGTGCCGGCAAAAGCAGCTCGCCAGCCTAAAAGCCGATTTAGCTAAATGGCCATCATGGACCCCGGGTACTGTGGGGGGAAGGACGGTTGGAAATGGACAGAAAGATTGTCGTGACATGCGGAGAAGATAAACACGAGCAGTTGACTTATATAAACGATCTTACTTCTTTACTTGACCGGTTTCTTCGTGCGTGAGGCTAGAGAGTTACATCCCCCCCCGCCAATTGCTGTATGGTTTCTACGTTTTGAAGATAGCCAATATTAGGACAAACGTTACGGAGTACTCTCCGTCTGGTCCAGACTCAGTTTTCGACCGAGATAGTTTTGGATTTTTTTTTTTTTTTTTTTTTTTTTTTTTTTTTTTTTTAAATTTCAGAGCAACCAACCACCTAGTTATATATAAAACATGTCGACGTACGCGGTACCCCGCAAGCTATGGGAGCATCCCGATCCCGAGTCGACGAATCTCAGCCAGTTTCGACGGCGGCTGGAGCGCAAGACGGGGTTGAAGTTTCCGGTATGTGTGTTCCCCTTTTCATTTACAAGGCTGGTGTTTTTTTCCTTCTTTTTTCTTTCGATATAGATATTTACGTTTCATTCATTCTACGGACGAGCTTTTTGGGACCGCAAAAAGCTACGTTTTGTACCCCGACATATTTTTTTGCCATTCACGCTGCTTTTCACTCCTCCCTAGCACGTATTAGGCGTCGGGCGGGCAAATGCAAAATATGCAAAACCAACATGATTAGGATACCTAGTTAACGTCTCGACCAAATTTTTCCAGACATTTCTCTCCCTCCACGACTACTCAGTCAACAACCGCGCCGCATTCTGGGAATTCTGTTGGCATGACCTCAACCCCATCCACTCTGGCACCTACACAAGGGTAGTTGATGAGGCCGCACGCATGGACAGCATCCCAGAATGGTTCGCCGGCACTTACATGAACTTCGCGGAGAATATGCTCTTCACCTCCTCCGGATCGTCGGGAGTGTCTATAGTTGGCAAGGAAGATGCGAAGTGTGCCGTGACTGAGGTTCGAGAAGGTGGGGCGGAGGGTACACGGAATATCACGTTTGGTGAACTCAGGAGCAGGGTTGGCAAGCTGTCGCAGGCTATGAAGACGGCGGGTGTGAAAAAGGGCGATCGCGTAGCTGTTGTTGCGAGCAATAGTATCGATACTCTTGTTGTGTTTTTGGCCGTGACGGCGCTGGGAGGGTTGTTTTCGTCCAGCTCGACTGATATGGGTGCCAAGGGGATTCTGGATCGCTTGCTGCAGATCAAGCCCCAATGGCTGTTCATGGATGATTGGACAGTATACAATGGGAACACCATCGATTTGAGGCCGAAGATGAAAGACATCGTTCGAGGGATGGGGGGTGTGGAGGAGTTTCAAGGAGTTGTATCGCAACCTCGATTCCAAGATCGTCCTGCCGATGTGAGCATGGTTCCCAGAACGCAAACTTTGGTGGCATTCTTGTCAAAGGTGAAGTCCAATAAGTTGGAATTTGTGAGAGTTAAGTTTTCGGATCCGTTCTTGGTCGTTTATTCTTCAGGTATGATCTTGATTGCAACATGTATGTTGGATTTTAACTGCGTGAAAAGTCTAACAAGATGGAATCAGGAACGACTGGAACACCAAAATGTATTGTGCATTCGGTTGGAGGCGTTGTCTTGAGTGGCCTGAAAGAGGGAAAACTGCACCGAGAAATGAACTCGAATTCGGTGGCTCTGCAATACACCACAACAGGATGGATAATGTATCTCAGTGCGTTGCAGCCATTGATGTACGGGTGCAGAGTCGTCTTGTACGACGGCAGCCCCTTCTTACCTGATGTCACCTCGTTCATTAAATTGGCTGGAGAGCAGAAGTAAGTCACAGATCCCCTTGGATTTCCAAGAGACGCATTCTGATTGAGTCAGGGTAACCCACCTGGGCACCTCCCCACGCTATCTGTACGAACTGCAAAAGAACGGTATTCAACCTCGAGAGATCACTGATCTTAGCAATCTGGAGGTAATGACAAGCACTGGGATGGTGCTTTCGGATGCCCTGTTTGAGTGGTTCTATGACAAAGGATTCCCGGCTAAAGTGCATCTCTCAAATATTTCTGGCGGTACGGATATTGCGGGCACATTTGGAACCTCAAACAGTCTGACACCGTTGTACGTGGGTGGCTGTCAGGGGCCGAGTCTTGGGACCCCTATTGCTGTGTATGATCAGACTGTGGAAGGTGGAAAAGGCGTTAAAGGGATTCCACTGGAGGAGGGAGTTCCAGGTGAATTAGTTGCGACAGCAGCGTTTCCCAACATGCCTGTCATGTTTTGGGGAGAGAACGGTGCAGAGCGCTATTTTGATGCATACTTTGCTCGATTTGACGGTAACTTGACGCGTTCCCTCTTGCGAACTGTTTGGTTCCCAGCTAACAATCTATAGATGTCTGGACCCACGGCGATTTCATCATGATCAATCCCACCACCAAGCAAATCTTTTTCCTGGGACGTGCGGATGGCGTTCTTAATCCCTCAGGCGTGCGGTTCGGATCATCCGAAATATACGGCATTCTCGAGAACAAATTCGCCAATGAGATCTCCGACTCCATCTGCGTCGGGCAGCGTCGACCGCGGGATTCAGACGAAACTGTCATGCTATTCCTGCTCATGCGTCCTGGCGTTCCCTTTACCAAGAAGCTCGTAGAGGACGTTAAAGCCGCCATCAGAAGCGGATTAAGTCCCCGACATGTGCCCAAATATGTGTTTGAGACTCCAGAGATCCCAGTATGTAATGTACATGTACACCCAGTTCCAGTATTGGACTCATGGAAGTTTGCAAGCTGACCAAAAATTTTCTAGACGACGGTCAACTTGAAGAAGGTCGAACTGCCAGTCAAGCAAATTGTGTCTGGGAAAGTAATCAAGCCATCGGGTACATTAGCCAACCCCGAGAGCCTCAACTTCTACTACCAATTCGCAGAGGTAGAGAAGTTAGTTGCTCCATCAAGTAAGCTATAAATGTGGCAGCAATGCAAAAAAGCAGATTTTAGATAGAAATATAGATAGTTTGTCGCTAGGCGCTGTGCATCTCGGGAAGAAGTAACAAAAGACAAATATAGAAAAAAAAACACAATAAGTAGTTATCTTTTACCCTTCTTCTTTTCCTTTTCCTGGGAAGCACCTCCTTCAGACTTCGTAAAGCCAGCTTTTAGTAGGGCATCTCGCGCGGCTGTGTTGATGATTCGGAACCGGTCAGGGCCCAACTTAACTCCCCCGTACCATCTGGTCACAACGACGACCACATCCCACACATCCATTAGCTGCATGAGATGCAACATTCTGGCCCCAGCAGCCGTTTCACCGTCATCATCAAAATCTTGAAAGATAGTTCCCTCGGCCACAGGAACGCCATTGGGCCCCGGCGCGGCTTTTTGCTTAATCCGCCACGCCGTGATATTGTGAGTTGCAGATGCGATTTTCTTTTCTGTGCCGAGGAGATAATCTAGATATTTTTTAGCCGTCTCCGTTGATTGAACTCTGGCGACACGCGCCACGAATACTGATTTCTTCTCCGTTATGGGATCTGAAATTACCCAGTCTGGGGGACTATCGAGGCCAAAGGACGCATGTAGTGATGGCGGCGGAACAGCTGTATCTACTGCAGATGTATGGGTGGTGGTAGGGTCCGCATCTTCATTGCCGCCAGCAGCAGACGCTTCATCGGGCTCCCCAGCTCGCATTTCACCGAATCGCTCTCCGCACTCCTCTATAACGTCATAAAGACACACGAAACCTTCTTGCCAGACCTTCTGCACCGAGCCACGTAGCACATTGAGCCATTTTTCCCCCTCGCCCCGAGAACTCGTAGATGCCGTGCCGATTACTCGAGGAGGGGTGGCGGGGTATTTGCTGTCGAAGCCAAGGAGGAATGAGAAATCTAAGTGATTCGGGATTCGGAGGATTATTGTAGTTGTAACCGGGAATTCGTCCGGGGCACTAGGAGGAGGATTGGAAGGGTTTGATGTCAGTGTTATGGTGGAAGAATCATATATTGCGTTGACTGAATCGATCTCTTCGGCGAGCTCGTCGTTCAGGCGGGAGGTCATTGTTGTTGTGACGGTTTCATTGAGAGGGTGAAATTGTTTAATTGATGGAGGATAGTATTGGGAAATGTATTCTAGAGCAAGAGTGAGCTTAAATTTGATCTTTTTCTTCTTGTGAGATCGCGTCAGTTGTATCATTCAATATTTGCTTGGGTATGGTTGTTATCTTGAAGTCTATTTAACTTAACTGGCATTCTGCGGATAAACATTTTAGCGGGGTTCTGGAGGCAGTTTTGTCCAACTCCAGTCCGATTGGAGATACCTTTTTTACCTTAGGATCTCTGCATATGCACAGCACCAATACCTAACTACAAGAGACAGTGGCCTGGTGGGGATGCATAGAATGTTGATCATGCGTGTTGATATGTCGAGTTGACTTTGTCGCCAGGGCAAATATTGACCCAGGTTACATATAAAAATACACTCGATGTAGGCTCAATTCCGAACGCACGCAAGGTCGTCGAAATTACCGCCATTAATGAAGGCAAATAAAATAGATTGAGATTGGGTATAATTGGCTTAAGTTATCCAATGAAACGGTGTATACGCCAGCCTTCATTGATGTATGCTGATGGATATGAAAAACCCCTAGCATGGCATGGCAAAACAGATAAAACAAAAATATCACGAAAGCCAAAAAACGGGTTCCACTAAACCTACTACCTCATCTATTCCCCCTCCCGCTTCCCTTTTCATCCTCATCCTCATCCTCATCCAAATCCCTCCGCGCCCAGAAATCTCTACAACCCTCCACAAACCCCTTAGCCGAGGCCCCTACATCCCCTTCCGGTATCGGTGCAAAACACAACCGGAAATACCTGAATGATTCATCATCATTGCGTCCACCCCCTTCAGCATCCTTACCACTGCCGCTACTAACTGGATTAAACAACCCCCCCGGCGCCACCAGACACAGGAACGGCTTCTTCATCAGATGCTTCCAGAGCGCGGTGGATAGTCGTTTAGTAGATATATCGCCGCGGGACCAGAGAGGGTGTGTCTCGAAACACATGCGCACCCAGACGAACATGCCGCCGCGGGGGAATTGGAAGGTGTATAGTGGGGTTTTGTGGAGGAGTTGCCAGTCGTCATCGTCGTCGTCGTCATCGTCATTATCCTCATCAATGTAGTTATCGCTGTAGCGTGCAGAAGTGTCGGTGGGGGGAGAGTGCTCGATAATCGACCTCCCTTCCTCCAAAATCGTGCACATAGTACGCATGCGCCATTCGTAACCAGCCCGCAACCCTTCCAGCCACCGCACCCATCCATCCGTCTTCCAGCTGACAGACTGCCTCCCACCACCACCAGTACATTTCTCCTCACTAAACTCGCCAAGCTTTTCCTCACTCCCTGCACTACCACCACCCACAATCAACCCCGCAACCATCGCCTGCACGAACCCAGATGGCTGCTGCGTGCTCGTCTCCGTAATATACAGAATCCGCTCTACAACCTTCGGCTGCGCCGTAAGCCAGCCTAGTCGACAGCCGGGCGCGATGCTTTTGGAAAACGTGTCGAGGCGGACCACGCGGCCGTCTGTGTCTATAGAGAGGTAGGAGGGGACAAGGGAGTCGAGGAAATGGTAGCCGGATGGTTTGCCGTGGGCATTGTAGTTGGGTGTAGTGGGGTGAGGATTGAGAGCGTTGCTGCTGCTGCCGCAGCCGCGGAAGTGTGCTTCGAGCTCGTGAGCAGCGGAGGGGTATTGGAGGTGCCAATACGGGTCGTCTTCGATGATAATGATGTCGTATTTCTGGCAGAGGGCGTAGAGCTCCCTGCGTCTTGGGACAGGGAGGACGGCGCCGGTTGGGTTCTGTCCGATTCTACATGGGTTTTTTTCGGTGTTAGTAAGTTGCATTACAAATAGCGTAGGAAACAGCAATTAATGAGTAGACGACGGCGGGCCCCCCCGGGGGGGGGGGGGGGCGAGGGGGAAACTTACGTCACCGTATACATCAAATGCGGCCTCTTCCCACGACTAAAATCCCAATTTTCAAGAATACTCTTCAACCCGCGCTCCCCATCTACCATCATCCCATCCGAATCCATAGCTACAGTCACGACATTGATACCCCGCGGCCTCACAGTCTGTATGGCGTTCATATACACAAATTCCTCGCACAGGATACATTCTCTATCTCTAGCCCAATCACGGTCCTTATCCCAGACATTCGTCAGTGCCTCGATGGTCTTGGAGAAGCCGTCTGTGGCACCGCATGTGAGAATCACTTCTGGTCCGTCTGAGTAGGGGACATTTGGGTGCAGATTTTCGCGGACGAATTGGCGGATGAAGGAGAGGAGGGGTGGGTAGCCTTGTGCGGTGCCATATTGCAGGGCTGTGGCAAGGTCGATTCGGGTTGCGGAGTTGGAGTTGTTGCTTTCTTTTGGGATGGTGAGTCGGGCTGTTGGGGGTGGGGTTGATAACAATAGGATCTCGTCCTCTTCAACCTGCGTAGTGACTGGGTTGGTGGAGGCGGGTGGGTTGATTCGAGTTGGAAGCGCGACGGTGGCCTCCAGGGTATCATATGGGAAATATGAGGAATTGGGAAGTCCTTCAAATTTGTATCAGTGATTTATATAGTTAAAGCCAATGTTATTTGTTTACTTCTTCCTTCGCATATATGAGCTAGGGGTAACCCTTGTAAGAAGATGCTTACCTCCTGCTAGGTTATGGATGCCCGGTATCGCAAAGTACTTGTAGAACTTCTTTACGTCGCTTCCCATCCGATTTTTCGCCGCAACGGAGAAGTGATGGGACAGATCAACAGGAGGCTGCTTTGGAAGGAGTCCATTCTTCGCTTTCTTGGCTTCATTGGGCTTGTGTTTGGGGTATTTGATTTTCGTCGTGGTGGTGGTGGTGGTGTCTTGTTCTTGGTGGTGCTGGTTGTAGGAAAGTTTCGGGATAAGTGACCCAATTGCATATTTATTGGCCGCCATTTTATGAAATGATTCGAGAGAAATACTTAGGCATACATAACAATAGCCCAATCGGAAAGTTCCTGGCGGTGGTTGGATTTTAACTGTTTCGCCGTTTGTTCGATATTTATGTATTGTCTGTCTCTCTTTGGAGTTTTCGTTCGAAGATAGGTAGAGAATATCTGGCCTTGCTGGTATCGATGTCCTTGATTTCAAAGCCAGGAATCAAAGGAGTTCGTATTCGCCTGGCGGGTAGGGAGTAAACCGTTCAGATATAAAACTATGCTGGAACGGGTCAGGCGCGGATGGAGATGTAAAGGCAGGGCAGGGCGGGCAGTCAACTCGTAAGTTTTATAAGTATACGGACTATAGAAATATAAATGGTAACGATGGTACAGGTGGGGGGGCTGGCTCCGGGGGGAACGCCTACAGTTCCAGCGGACCAATTAGGCGTGCAACCCCTATTAGTTTTAGGGGTGATTTCAGCGCCGAGTTCTCGAGTTCCGTCCGGTATTGAGATTTCCACTTATATTTCTACAAGGGCTCCTCCTCTCCACTCATCCCGTACCGCCAGCCGAACCCTGATACGCCGCGACGGGATAAGCAGCGGGCCAGCCGCGACCAGCAAGGAAGGACAATGTACTCCGTAGTACTCCGTACTGCGTAGAGAGAGGGGAAATCGGATGCAAATCAAGGGGGGAAGAAAGCCTAGAAGGGCAGCTGATGGGTTAAAAATAGATCGACAACCAATAATGGAAGAAAAGACGGTAACTATGTCTCTGGCTGGTACCTTCCTATACAAACTACTGCGGCGATCTACCCCGGAGCTACTTCGGGATTCGGCCTCTCTTCACCATCCTGCTGACTAACTCCGCCCAACCGGCTGCCCTATCCGCCATTCCGCCTCACCTCCACTCCGCCACTCTCACTCACTCCTTGTCGCTCTACTCTGCCTCTTCTATCTCTGCTGTTTCTGATATTGTCTGCTATCTCGGTGCCGTGATACCCCGATAGACCCGCGTCGTAGTCGACTATTCGTGCTGTCATTCATTCTAGTGTCCGTCTGCTTCTTCTTCTTCTTCTTCTTCTTGTTGGCTGCCTGGCGGTCTGAGTTAGTTGGTAAGGGTTGTTCTTGATATTTGATATTGATATCGTACAGAATAAATTCATCTGATCTAATTCCCCCCTCCCCCCCCCCTCTCCCCTTTTCGTTACAGCTATAGATAGCACAGCGAAACTATGGCCAGAGAACCGTGGGATGATGAAGAGGCACTCTCTGGCAGGACCGTCATCACCACGCTGACCGACGATGAGGATGACCCTTATACGGACGAACCTGATGGCATCCAACAACTGGGCATGTCAGGAGGTGTTGAGTCGGCGCCCACTACCCTGCCCATACCTGTCTGGCTGGCGGAATCCTCCAAATCTTTCCACTGGAAATGGGTCCCGCTGCCATTGCGCAAGGCTGCCCGTTCGACTGTGAAGTGGCTTAAAGGCCCCAATCCGCCTCGAGTTCTGCTCCTAAATCCACTTTTCCCTAGCATACAGGCTATGCCTGTCAAGCTCGTAGATCGATTCTTTCCGAAACGAAAGTACAAGATTGGTCTTCTGTTGGCGGTGTATTTTACCTGGTTTCTCCCCTGGGCGTTGGTCCTGAGGAACTCCGCTTCTGGTGGTCATATCGAGGGCTATGGGAAACCTGCTCCGATCAGTTGTGGTGCTAGCTACTGGTACGTCTCATTTCCAAGCTGTTTCTATTTCTATTTTTATTTTTATTATTTTGGTTGAATATCCTGGAGTGTGTAATTGAAATATTGAATTCTAACGGAACTTTTGAAATCTACAGGGCTAAGGGAAACGAATGCGGCCTCAATGGGTATGAATGCCGGCCATTTAACCGCTCGACTTTTGCCTTTCGATGTCCTGCGTTCTGCAGTAGCCATCTCGTCCTAGAGCCGTACGTGGTAGGCAATGAGACTGTCAACTACCAAGCTCTGGTAGTTGGGGGTCCTATTCCTGGCGCCTCGAGTGATGATCTCGAGGGTGCGATCTATCGAGCAGATAGCCACGTATGCCAGGCCGCAATACACGCTGGAGTTATCAGCGACTCTACAGGAGGTTGTGGAGTCGTCGAACTGACTGGCGCTGGCCATTCGTATTTCGCCAGCAAGGCGAATAAACTCGCCTCAGTTGGCTTTCCTTCAACTTTCCCGAAATCATTTAGATTCCTCCGTCTGCCGGGTTCGCAGTCAGACTGCCCTGGCGACTTGCGGTGGCCGTTGTTTGCGATTACCGCAACCGCTATTGTCCTAATCTCCCTCTTTACGACCTCCCCCGCCGTATTTTTCTTCACGACATTTTTCATGCTCATTCTCCACGTGGGTCTTGTATCTGATCCGCCGGAGCTACACAGGGTTGCAGACCTATTTTCGCTCTTATGTTCCAGGCTTCTGCCCGCTAGCTTCATCGCATACGTGCTCTACATCTACTGTGCGCGCCCTCTTTTAGAACCACTGGCTTCCCCTCCCGTTTACCAGTTCAGCAAAACAATCCTATACCTAGGTCCTGCGTTTGTTGGTGCTCTGAACAACTACACGTTTGCTCTATGGATCCCCATCCAACGTCTTACCCCGCACGACATCAAAGCCCAGCCAGGCGCGCCCATCGCCCTCGCCATCATGATCACTATCATCGTCTCCATAGTCCTCGGCCAAGCCTGGCACATCCGCCAAGGCGGCCAATTCTTCCACTACCTAAAGATTTACCTCTGCATCGGCGCCGGCTTAATTTTCCTCCTTGTCCTCCCCCAATTCCGCCTGCGCATCCACCACTACATCCTCGCCATGCTCCTCATGCCCGGCACCGCCTTCCCCATCCGTCCCTCAATCATCTACCAGGGCCTGCTCCTCGGCCTCTTCGTCAACGGCGTTGCCAGATGGGGTTTTGCCTCCATCATCGAAACGCCAAGTGCACTAGGTGAACTTCCAGGGCCCGGTAGCAATGGCTGGTGGGGCGCCACTAGCCCCAACATCACGAACTCCTCCGTCCATATCTCGCTGCCGTCTGGCGACCATGTGGATAGGGGTAATGGGAACATCACCTTCCAGCTGTGGGAGCCGGAGCGCATGGAGAAGCTGAATGTGGACGGCATCAGTGTGCTTGTGAATGATGTAGAGCGGTGGCGTGGGTTTGTGGACGAGGATGTTACTGGGGAGTTTGTCTGGCATCGGCAGGGGCATCGGGGACTGGATATGTCCAGGCCGAAGCGTGCTGGTGTAGAAGAGTACGAGCATGATGATGACACTGTTATATCAATGCAGGATCAAGATGGGAATGAGGATCCGGCTGAGGATCTGTTTTTCCGATTTGCATTTTTGAAGGGGTCGAAGGTCGGACTTTATGGTGGCGTTGGTGTTTGGAATAGAGATGGCAGCTGGATAAGTCCTCCGCCGCCGAGGACTTGATTTTCTGATTTTCTGATTTTCTCTTTCTCTTTTTTCTTTTTTCTTTTTCTTTTTCTTTTTGCTTCTTCTTACACTCATATATACATTCTTCGCCCCTTCTGTTCCCTGCTCTTCATGCTCACAATTGTCTAATTTGGTATCCCCTTCTCTTTTCTTTTTTTCCTCTTTTGTTGTATTGCCGCAAGGCAATCAAGTAGTCAAACTAGCATCATACTTACCTAGACGGACGGTGTGGCGTTTTTATATTTGTTCAAACGTTATCTTTTATAAACTCGGTTTGTTTTTTCCCGTTTGTTTCCCCCCCTGTTCGCTGCCCTCACCCCCCCGGCCCCTTTTAACGCACCAGAACCACACGTATCTGATATGGTTCTACATGGCGAGTTGAGTCAAGTTGTTGATTTATGATGTGATATGATATGGTGCTTGAGTGATTTATGATTATGCGGTTTTGTGCGTGAGACAGGTTAGTTACTATACATTATATACACACACACTCTCTCTATATATATTTGGTTATCTTAGAAGAGGACCCGTGATGGAGAGAAGTTAGAGAGTGGATGATAGAGAGGTTTTCCCTTTCCTACTCTTTTTCCACTTTTATCTCCTCGGAAGGGCACTTTTTGCCGGACCAACATGATGGGGCCGAAGAATCAATGGCAAGGAGGCCTCTCAGTGCGCCAGGAGGTGATGTCGGCCGGGGCACCAGTTCAATGACTCCGTGTTTGACGAGGATATGCAGGAAACAAAGATTAAAGAGGTCCCCTCAAATTCCACTTGAATTGAGATCTCCTTGGTTTCATTGACTGAGATCAGTCAGCCCCAAATCATCCCTCCCACGGTCTCCTTGCGTCCTAACGCCGCTAACGACTCCACCTAATCTGAGCTTCGAGCAAAATAACAGCCTTGGAGACGAGCGGATAAGGATTTTACACCCGCAGGACGAACAGGCGATTTCCAGGATCCGTCTGACCGGCTTCTTCCGCCGCCAACGTCGTCTGTCTCTGTTTCTCTTCCCGGCATAGAACCCGTTGCTCCAGATGCGACAGATACAACGAACGAACGTCCTTGGGATATCACACATCTCTATTCTCCCGATTGTCAATGGAAAATCCGAAGCTCACGCAAATCTTCAAGCCACCCAACCAAACGCATCATCTTCGAACGCTCGAGAGAATCAAAATCGGGTCGATGTACAAATTCTAATCCTAACGGTACTCAAAGAGTCCAGATAACGGTTCGACCGAGGCTTGTCTAGCCATTATACATAGGGCGAGATTGCAGCCCACATCTATCTGCTATTACACCTAGCCAGTGAGAAAAAAAAAAAAAAAATAATAAGAAAACATTAGGCGCGTTTGCGACGTGTATTGGCGAGACGGAAATGAGGAGCCTGTTATATTTATGCCATGATTGAATAGTTGTTTCTGATATCGGAAATTACCATCTTGAGAGTACTCATAATAATTTCTTGGCTAATCCTCCATAGAAATCTAAATCGATCAATAGTGGTACCAATTGACCACGTAAAATCTGGCATATAAAAAAGGCTCTCAAAATCTCTTAATATCTCATCCATTCGGTATGCTCAACGTATGGACGGACGTTCGCCGCAACTGATGGACATCATTCTTGTAGTTCCTCACGAAAATAGATGGAGCTCCTGATAGTGAATTCCCCCCTAAAAAAAAAGAAAAAAAAAAGAAATTACAAAGCTGGAGAGGGTAGGACAGAGTACGGAGTAGACGAAGAGGAAAGGGCTTTCGAGCCAACGCATCATCCTTTATGCGTATTTGTACCATTGATTTCTCCTTCTCCAAAGCCGCTTGATGTACTTTCAGGGCGGTGAACTCACGGTCTCTCATTTTCTGCCAACTTCCTGTATCCGATAATGTAACGGTAGCTGTAGTCTTTTGCGGACCAAGCGTAGACTCGCCATTTTTGTGTTCCACCACCTTTTGGTCCATGATTTTTCTTCTTGTTTTATGTTTTCAGATTCCAGTGGCGAGATGGGCGTGATTGCCTTTGCAAAAGATCCCAGATCTTCCACATGATCCAACCAGTTCAGGACTCCTTCCACAGACGGGGGTTCAGGAGGACAAGGCAGTGTGTATTTGTTTTCGATTCGAGGTGTTGTTTTTGAAGACTTGGCTGAAGCGTTGTGACCTTGGTAGCGGCTTCTTTCCTTCGCTGCCATCACGGCCTTCAGGACCCTTCTTCCCGCCATTGTCATCGTCCCCACTCCCGTCATTGTCATCGTCATCATCAGTATTTCACTTCCTTTTGCCTCCGCCTTTGCGGCGTTGGATCTGGACGGCTCCCGAGCTGCATCGAATCGTTGATTTGATTCCGAACTTCCGGAGGCTATGAGTTCATGATCTCCTACGATAGGCTCGCGTACCATTGGGGGGAAAGGCAACCGCGAAGCGCCTTCAAAACTAGAGTCTGTGGATATCCGCGGAACGGCTTGGGGAATGGAGACCAGTTCATTCCTGGGAAAGTAGTTAGTTATCCACATGCTAAAGAAGTAAACGCGGCATAGTGTTCTGCTTGGATCGACCCGTGGGCACGTCCTATATTAGTGGTAGAATTTTTTGTATTTGGCGCTACGGGGAAACCAAGGAGCTAAAGTGGGGACACCTGTAAATCACCACCAGCGCCTGCTGGTAGAAGGGCCGACCAACCGCGGGACCCTCAACACCCCCCCTCAGACCAGCTACCACAGAGTACAGTACTTCCTCTCAGTGACTCTCTTCAGTGGTCTCCCCACAATGGCTCCTTTTTAATAATGGACTGGACCACTCAGTCCTAGGGCTCACAGGACTTCTAGGGCACACTCCTGGGATGTCTCTTGACACTGTTTATTTGTTAGGAATTTTTAAGTCCATTCTGAGATTGAATCCATGCATGTTGATCACAGCGGGGCTCATGCTTAACAGTCTCATAATCTGTAGGCTACTGGGACAAAAGAGCTCAATCACTACCAGTGCCTGCTGGTAGAAGGGCCGACCAACCGCGGGACCCCCAACAACACCTACCTACCCCTACCGGTGGCAATGACAATGAGCACCTTGCCTGCACTCCGGCTTCGTAATAATTTCGTTCAAACTCAACGAACCCGGTCTCTGGGAGTACAGCCCAAATGGGATACGGGTCGTCATACCCATGGCAGGTGATGCAAAGGCGCATCATGTGTTTTAGATGTGCTCGATAAAAGACCTGGGGAAGGATCCTCATTGCTTGCCATCGATGGGCCTGTCATAAAATATTTGGAAATAACCGGACTGGAACAAACGTGGAAGACCGGCAAGGAGTGTACTGACCACGGTAGCTTCGATGCTCGCATGGACATTGTGGGCAACTTCCACCTGTATAAGGGAAGGGTAAGGGCCTTCACATAGCCAACAAACCCCGCCGCCATATTGTAGCTTGACCTCGTCCTTTAGTGGGTCTGTAGCTGACCTGGCACTAGCATCTCATGGCCCTGAAGCATCCAGTGAATGAGCTGCTGGTGTTGTGTATGATGTGCTTGTCATTTGATTGCATTGAAAAGAAAGATGAAAAAAGAAAAGGGGAAAGAAGAATGAAGCAGGAGAAGAGTGAGAAGTGAGACAATGCATATTAATTAATGAGAATTATCTCAAGTGTTTTCAGCACCAGCTGATTTGCATGAGATGTGAGTTTTAGTGAAGTTTCAGGCTTAGAGTTCTTTGATTCTCACTTCACAAGCATTACAGTGTATCAGTGTTCAGTCAAAGACTTCAAGATGCCTCAGATTATCTAGACCTTTATTTGCAGTTAATAAATGATTCATACTTTGAGTGGTATTAAACTCTATATAGAATGACATTCTTGAGTTTAAAAGAACTTTAAATTTTAATATAGTTACATGTGTCTTTGCTTAATTTAATTATATTATAATTGAGTGTATTTTATCACAATGTTATTATTATTACAATATTAAATTCATTAATTATCTTATTATTATTATCAATTAATCACTTATAATATAACTACTGAAAATGAAATTATTAAGAAAAGAATTCAAGGTATTTTTAATATATATAAATAAAATTTAAAATAAAAAATTTAGTTTTTAATATAAGAATTTAATATACTTTATTTCTATTTTTATTACTATATAATTGAAGATAAAGAAATAGTTAATTAATCAGATATTAAATAAATCTCAGAGAAAAAAAGTAAAGAAGTAAATTAAATAAATAAATAAAGTTAATTATTAATAATATCTAATATTTTTACAAATTTAATTTTTACTTAAAATTATATTACTAAGATTAATTTTTATACTATAAAAAAATATAATTTTATAAATTTATTAAATAACTTTCAGAGTATAAATAAATTAAATATAATTTAAAAGAATATATAATCACTGAATAATATAATTACTTATAGATATATTTATAAATATAAAAAACTTTAATAATTTTATTAATAATTTATTTTATATATAAGAAGTCAGCATATATTTATAATTTTACATTAATTTAAGCAATTTTTAAATTATATTTAATAATATATTTAAAAACTAATAAGAAGTACAAGCTTTTAAGATATAATAATTTTATTTACAAAACAATTTAAAATTATTATATTAAAATAATTTTAAATATTTCAGAATAAAAATATATGAAAAAGAAGTAAGTAAAAAAATATTTAATTAATACTGTTCTACTTATTAAAAGAAAGATTTATATTTATTAAATTATCTCTTTTATAGACTAACTACTTTTACTTATATAAATTAATTATATATAATATAACTAGACTGGCTGCTGAGATTATAAATTTTATATTTAATCTTATTTAATCTGATTCTATACATTTCTTAATATAAATTTCACTGAGACTAATTATTAAATAAACATGTAAAGTGACTATATATCAGATCTTAAAATGAAATTATAACTTGAAAAAAATGAGAAAGTGATTCTATTTAATCTTATTTAGTCTTATTCTTAGTATAAAGTGACTATTTTTAGACATTTTAACATTTTTTTTTGACTATTTTTAATTTTTTAAAAAGTAACACTTTTTAGTAACACTTAAATAAGATTTAAAGTCATTTAAAGTAATAAAAATAATTTAAATTAAGAAGTGAAAATCATGATCTTATTTAAAAAATATGATAAGAGTAGATAGTAAGTCTCACTAAGACAGTATAAGACTACTATCTAATGTTAAAACTGTGTAATGAGATCTGTTAAATTAATAATAAGACTATCAAAAATTCTGATTCTAGTCTCAGACACAGTTATATATAGACTGATTATATAACTGTGTCTGAGATCAGAATCAGATTTTTTAATAGTTTCATTATCAATTTAACTGATCTCATTACATGATTTTAACATTAGATAGTAGTCTTATACTGTCTTAGTAAAACTTACTGTCTACTCTTATTATATTTTTCAAATGAGATCATGATTTTAACTTCTTAATTTAAATTATTTTTATTACTTTAAATGACTTTAAATCTCATTTAAGTGTTATTAAAAAGTGTTACTTTTTAAAAAATTAAAAATAGTGTAAAAAAAACCTTAAAATGTCTAAAAGTAGTAACTTTATGCTAAGAATGAGACTAAATAAGATTAAATAAGATCACTTTCTTATTTTTTTCAAGTCATGATTTCATTTTAAGATCTGATATATAGTCACTTTACATGTTTTTTTAATAGTCAGTCTCAGTGAGATTCACATCAAGAAATGTATGAGATCAGATTAAATGAGATTAAATATGAAATTTATAGTCTCAGCAGTCAGTCTAGTTACACAGTCAGTCTAAATATAACTATATCTGAGATTAGAATCAGAATATTTGATAGTTTTATTATTAATTTAATTAATTTTATTATATAGTTTTAAAATTAGATAGTAGTTTTATACTATCTTAGTAAGACTTACTGTCTACTTTTATTATATTTTTCAAATAAGATTATAATTTTCACTTCTTAATTCAAATTTATTTTATTTCTTTAAATAACTTTAAATCTTATTTAAGTATTATTAAAAATTATTACTTTTAAAAAAATTAAAAATAGTTTAAAAAAACCTTAAAATGTTTAAAAATAGTAACTTTATATTAAGAATAAAATTAAATAAAATCACTTTCTTATTTTTTCTAAGTTATAGTTGTGGTTTGAAAGAACGTATAACTGTTGAATAATAACACAGCCGCTTTCAAACTACTAGTGTATGAGTGTAAAGAGGCCATAGCGGCTGCTAATTAATTTAACATACAATATTACAATATATAAGAAGTCAGTGTATGTCTATAATTGTATACTGACTTAAGCAACCTTTGAATCACATCTGATAGCATGTCTAAAAATCAGTGAGAAGTGCAGACTTCTTCAGAGTATGATAATTCTATCTACAAAGTGATTTATAGTTATTATGTCAGTGTGGTTCTAGAACATCTCAAAAGATAGTGTATAAAAAGTAATGAGTGAAAGAGTATTCAATTGATACTGCTTTACTTATTAAGGAAAAACTTCACACTCAGATAAATGCCACATATGCAAACAGATGAGATGTGAGAAAGAGAATGAGAGTGATGAATAAGATTCAAAGAAGTTCACTTTCTACTCAAAAGAAGAATAAAAAGAGAGAAGTGATTATCACTGAAGTTATACAATGATAATAAAAATTATATAATAATATAGTAATATAATGATACAGTGATATAATAATAGACATTATATAATTAATAAGAAATCACTGAAATGAATATCTTCTCTAGTTAATATAAATAACACTCTTCTCTGCTATCTGAACTGGAAGATATACAGAACCTTTCAGAGAGTTTACTTAAAGTAATAAGAAAAGCAGCTGAAACTGCTGAACTGAAATCAAAGCTCTGTATACATATGAGAATTCTAAATGAGATCAAGGTCTTGCATACACAGTGATAGACTGAGATGAAAGTCAAATAACAATTAACATTCACTGCAGATTAAGCATTCACTATGAAGAGCTTTGCTGACACAATTATCATTATTAATAAGAATAGAGAAAATCAGATCTTAGATCTGTAGCAGAAGATTAAACATTTACACAGATAGATAACTATACTGAATCTGAAGATCTTATCACAATTATTCACAATCTCTTCAGAAGTGTATATATCATTGAAGACTACTGCATAGAATGAGAATCTGAGTATGAAATATATCAAGCTGAGAGATCTGCTGAAGTTATTAAGCTTTAATAACAACTGAAAAAATGATGCTGTAATCAGCTGACTAAGTCAGATATAATTATATTATCAAATCAAATATGAACTCACAGACAGATAGTTAACAGAATTTCAATAAGTCTTAAGATCTGTCATATTTCTACACAGAAAAGTGAAGTCATTATAAATGACTGATAAAAAGATAAATCTTACAGACTCAGAGTAATATTCATTCTTATAAACATGAAATGAGTTTTTTAAATGAATCTTGTACAACTTTGAGAAAGTAAATGTGTGAGACAAGTATTATAAACACTTCACTGAGTGTAAACAAGTGAGTGATCTTATATCATACTTCACACACTTCAGCTTATACTATCTTGTATTGAATGAAGAGCTTTCAACATCTTTCTGTTTACAGATCTTTATTCATGATTTTACATCTGAGTTGAGAGTGAAATGAAAATACTTAACCTTATAATCAGATACAGTGAAAGAAGCATACAATATTCTCATTATACAGAAACAAGTGAGTCAATTACAATATAAAATACTGCAATCAAGTATATCTCAGTGAAGAACAGATAATCAGACTTCTATAACACAAGTTACATATCTGAATATGATGAATCTAAATCTGAATGTTATTACTAAAGTGCTGAATTCTCTGAAAAAGAGATTCTCTGAATGAAAATTTTAATATTATGAGTATTGAGCTTACTTCAACTGCAGATATTAAAATCATGATACAAAAGATTACACTCAGCATACACAGTCAAGAGAAGTAAGAGAGTCAAAAAACTAGTAGAATCAGTGAGCTTAAAGACACTTACTGATATTCTATGAAAAGTCTTCAAAGTGAAAGAGATGTCTGTATTAGATAATTCTCTGAATTCTGTGAATGTAAAGAAGAAGCAGACTTCTGAATGAGATACAGATGAGAATGATAAAGTGAACACTCATCTCAATGTCTTAAGACCTGAAATATTAATGTATAAGAGACACTTAAGTAAGAATCAAGAGATGACTGCAAAAGTATTAACAGATACAGAAGCTTCTACACAATATATTGATAATTATATGATCTGAAGATTGAAAGAAGTCTGCTGAGTGAAGAATTCTCAATACATAAGATTATCTGATAACTGATATTTGATATCATCTGTAAGAGTAAGAGTTCTCTTGCACTTTGAAGAATGATCTTACTATATTTGAGTATGAGAGCTGCAGAATATGAAATATAATCTTATTCTCAGACTTAATTAGTTTCAAAGATTCAATCTGCAGATTCAATGATGTACATGTTATATACAGTTGACTAATAGAAAGAAAACAGTTCATACAATTCTATCAACTGATATAAGAAGAACATTTCACATCTCTGATATAGAAGAATTAAATCTGCTTACACATTAATAAGCAAAGAGAATAATTTATAAAACCTCATTCAAAAGCATTCTGTATGTTATACAGAACCTGAAAGTGAAGAAAATCAAGATAAAAGATATGCAGAAGAACAAGCATATGAAGAAGCTTCTGAAGAAGCATGAAAAGATCTTTCAAACAG